ATAAAACATATGCAAGGAACAATCTTACGATGTTTTTCAGAAGATGGATGTATAGAACTATAAGTCTATTTACAAAATTTATCAGGTGGCCTATCTCAAGGATGATGACTTTATAGGACTATAAAAACATCTGTGAGGAACAGTCTTACGATGTTTTTCGGAAGACAGATGTATAGAACTATAAGTCGATTGTTTTAAATAGTCATAAAGACGAGAAGATTTCATCTTCTCGTTTAGGTACAAATTCATTTGGAACTGGACCCTCTTTTTAAGTGTAGTCGGTTCTCTGTAGACTCGCAAAAACCGACTCTCTAAGGAAACATATTTATAGGACTATAAGGGTAAACTTTCAACTGGGCGAAAGGTTGTTTGGCAGGTTGTTTTCGGAGTTTACCTCTGATGGAGGAGCAAAATATCAAATTTTGTAAATCAATTAGATTGTGTGCAACAACTGATAGTGATTTGTGATTGAAAAACCTTCGTTTTGCATCACCATTTGGAGTGGTTCTCAAAAAGTCATTTGCTACTTGTTTTTTCCGACCATTTTATTTCACTCATAATTTTGCTCCCTTGGGAGACCTAAAATTCAGGTTTTCAAAAAAATATAGAATGATTTTTCAAACCTAACAATTTGATTTGTTAGGTTTTCATGAATCCTCTGTTGAAGCAGAATTAAGAATTTGCATAGACTACAAAAGTTTGAATGCCATAACGGTCAAAAATGCAGAATCACTGCCCCGTATAAACGATTTGTTAGATCGGGTGCAGAGCTGCAAGTACTTAACGAAAATAAACTTGAAGTCAGGGTATCATCAGATAGAGGTACAACCTGATGATCAGTATAAGACAGCCTTCCGGACTAGATATGGGCACTACGAGTTCATAGTGATGCCCTTTGGACTAACTAACACACCAGGCATATTTCGGTGTTGCATGAACGACTCGTTTAGGCCGTGGCTAGATAGGTTCGTAGTAGTCTACTTAGACGATATCTTAGTGGTCAGCAAGACCCTCGAGGAACATGACGGTCATCTGAGCTAGATCTTGTGAAAAGCTACGAGAAACTAACTTCAAGATCAACGTGAAAAAATGCAAGTGGGTCAAGATAAAAATCCTTTACTTGGCCCATGTGTTGGATGGAGACGACATTAGGTCGGAGGACAACAATACAACATCGAATAGGGATTGACTAACTCCGTGCACTTTGACGGAGTTGCGTTCATTTTTAGGATTGGCCAACTATTATAAGAATTTTGTAAGGAACTTCTCCACTATCACTGCTCCCCTTCGCAGGTTCCTAAAGAAAGAAGCGATCTGGAAGTAAGTCCAAGATACCTCGGCCTTAAAGAAGTTGAAGAAGGCCTTGGTAGAGTATCCTGTACTCAAAGTAGTCAATCCTTCGTTGTCATTTGTCGTCACGAGAGATGCAAGTCAGTATGGCATATGCATCGTATTTACAGCAAGACGACGACAATGGCTATCGACCGTAGAGTTCATGTCAGCTAGGTTGCCTTCGGAAAAAGGTAGCAGCATCAACATACGAGAGAAAACTTTACGCTCTCTGGCAAGCCTTAGATCCTTGGAGGCACTACTTGCTTGGAAGACACTTCAAAGTCTATTCAGACCACAAGACCCTAAGGTGGTTGACGACGTAAGCCAAGCGCGATAGTACATTATTTGGACATAGGGGCATATCTGCAGCAAAAGATAAAAGATGCGTATGCTCAGGATCCGATCTATAGTGATTTACTAAACCGCATGAAAGAAGCCCGTGACAGTGAGCCACACTACCAAACCACAAACGGGCTACTGTTTGAGAAAACCAATGTCGTTGACAAATAGTGCATCCCCAATAACGAGGAGATCCGTAGCTTAATCTTAGGGGAATGCCGTGATATAGAAGGGCATTTTGGCTGGCAAAAGACTTTGGCCAACCTTATGATGTCGTACACATGGCTCGAGATGGAACCAGACTGCATAGAGTATATTTGCAGTTGCAAAGTCTGCCAGTGCAATAAGACAACAACACGAGCACCATTAGGTCTTCTCAGACCCTTGCCTATCCCAGCAGGACCCAGGGAATCAACTTTCATCGACTTCATGGACACCGGAGTCAGGAGTAGGGATGACAAAAGCCAAGTCATGGTCATAGTAGACAATTTCAGCAAATATGCAGTTTTCGTTTCATTGCCTTTTAGAGGCAAAAATCGACTTAGTAATAGACAAAAATTTTGACTTCTGGTAAGAGAGCATGGCATACTGCTATCCTTAGTTAGTGACTGAGACACGCGGTTTACCAGTCAGACCTGGCAAAATCTTATGAAAGTTTACAACTCTAAGTTGTTGATGTCGCCAGTTCGTCATTTAGAGACAAACGGCCAGATAGAAACAAATGAATAAGATCTTGCAACAACTACTCAAAATGCATATTAGACCAGATTAAATCAACTGGGATGAGATGTTTCCCAAGGTAGCTATTGCCTATAACAACAGTGTACATCTAGCTACCCGTCGAACTCCTAACGAGTTGCATAAGTCCTTTAGACCATGTAGGCCGTTTGAAGGGCTGGACCGGGATCAAATTTAGAGATTACCTCTTAGTACTAGAGAGGTTGCTTTGCCGCACGAGAAGGAAATCACTAGGGTGGTCAAAAACCTTAGGAAGGCCCAACTTCGAATGATCGATCAGGCGAACAAGCATCGCATACCCTTGCAGTTCAGGGTAGACGACCTAGTCTGGGTCAAGTCAAAGGAATTCGCACTAGAGGAAAACATCTTGCAGAAGCTCTTGCCCGCGTACAGAGGGTCTTGGCCTGTCCTAGAAGTCAAAGGAGGAGAGGGCACACCATCGTACACCATAGAGAACCGTCGCACCTCCATACGTATACGGTCTTCCATGCATCAAAGTTGTTGCCGTGTATGACCATCGAGCAGTTTCCTTCACAGAGGTATATGATCCCGCCAGATATGGACGGCACATACGACATAGACCACATAGTGGAAGAAGACGTATTTAGGACCAGAGGTCGGGGTCGTCCCCAAAAGCAATATAAAGTTAGGTTTGCTTACCAGGGACCTGAGGACGACAAATGGTTCACCAGAACTTAGCTTATAAAGACCGCTCTCGACATAGTGCATGCCTATGAGAGGGCAAGAAAGGGTAAAGGTTTTGCCTTGGGTTAGAGAGTTCTCGAAGGACCTTGAATTTAGGACAGCGGAAGTGAAATGGTTTCATCTAGTTCATAGGATAATTTCAGGACCCATGGCTCGATCCCTAGACCTATCCCCGAACTTGTACAGCAACCCGTTGACCCTGTGCGCCTTGAACCCGTGACCTGTCCCAAACATGTGTGTCTAGGTGCCGTGCATACAGCTTGAACCGCAGTCTTAGGGTTTAGTCTTAAGTCGTAGCTCTAGCTGTAATGAAGAGTCAGTCCTAAGTTGCCTAGGACCTTCTAGAACCGTCAAAGCGGGCTCTTCGGAGCTGTAGGGGTTAGTCAGTCGTAGCCTAGGGGGTTCGAGACTCGTCAATTTGACCTTTCAAGATCGTAGCAGTCAGTTGTCCGTCGATGAGTCAGCGAAGTGTAGTCCAGTCCCAGTCGCATTCCCAAGCCCACCTTGTCTAGTCAGCAAGTACCAGGTGGGGCTGCACCTTCCTTGGGCTCGTGACAGAACGCAGGCCAGGCCACAACGAAACAGCATAAATAAAGGGGCAGCGCCCAGCCATTCACTCATTCTCCAGTGAGCCATGCGGAAGCACTGCTAGTGCGACTTGTGCAAGGAGGTCTGCAGGTGCCCCACGACGAAGAGGGCAGAGGTGGACGGCGGCGGCCATAGCCACCTAGAGGAGGAAGACGATGGTGGCCATAACCGCCAGCTTGTTGACGACAACAGTGTGTGTGTGTGTGCAGACATTCAGGGTAGATCCTAGTGTGTGTGTATCTGTGCGGGAGTGAGTGCCAGTGTGTCTGATGGTGGATACAGTGTACTGGTTGGGCTTCAGACAGGCGATCAGACGCCATAGCAAGTTGGCTTTTACTGAGTTTCTGGCCAGGGGCCATATATCTGAGTTTTCTGTGTGGGCTCTGTGCATACGCTTGTTGCTGATCCTACTATCTGAAAGTTCTTCTGCCATCGACATCTGTATGCATGCATGTTGGCAGTGAAGTTGACGTCGAGTCTGATTTCATGTCGAAACACGGCTCACCACCTTGCACTTGATATGCAGCTGACGTTCCCGTTTGCCCATCCGTTCACAGGCAGCCAGCCAGGCAGCGAGCACACGCGCAAGGCAGGCAGCCAGGCAGCGAGCGCACACGCCAGCAACCAGCCACGCAGCGAGCGCACCTGAGCAATATCTGTTGTTATGTGATCTGTCACTGCCTTGTCATAATGCTCCCAGTGCCGGGCTTTTTTTCCTTTTTTCTTTTATTTAGTGCCGGTCTTTATGTGGGGAGGCTGGCCCCGTCCAATTTTTTCCATTCAAATATCCCCGTGGGCGTGGTCCCATTAGCAAAGAGGATCGGACCGAATGCCTGAATCTGGTTGAGGTTATGGAGATGTGCAGGAAATCGAGATTGAACTGATTTTCTGCATCTCTGCATAAAACACATCCAGATTCAGGAGCTCGATCCTATCCTTTTTGGTAGTGGGACCTCGGCCCGTGTAGCTCAACGCGTAAGTGGGACTTGGCCACCAGACAGGCAGCAGAGACGCTTCGTGGTGCCCAGTTCCACGATCACAAAAAAAAAAAAGGAAAAAAAAAAGATATCACGCCCCTACCGCCTCGCGGTGGGGCGGGCCAAGGAGGGCAAAAGGGGAGTAGGTGTACCGAGGTGTCACTCCTCCTCACCTTCTCCCCCGCTCCCTCTTCCGCCCGAGCCCTCGGGGTCCCCTTGCACTCGTTCGCGCAGCCATGGGTCCCCTTTCCACTCCTTCCGTCCGCCTGCCCATTTTTCGCAGGACCTTTGGGTCCGGCTACCCCGGAAGTCATTTTCCTACCTGACCGTCGAGTGAGAACAAATCATAACTTGCTTGTTGATTGATAGTGGATGCGAGGTTATGGAGGTGACGTACGGGCGTGAGGGAGACGAAGGAGCAGAGGAGGATGGAGAAAGAGGAGGGGGAGGAAGTGCACAAGGAGGGCGCTGGGGAGGAAGTTCTCCAGACGGTCACTGGGGGAACGATGGCGTCTACGGGAGGATGATTCTAGGATGTGGGAGGAGGGGGAGGAGAGCAGCGGTTTCGGCTGCGACTCCTTTCGCACATCCACCCAGTTTCTCCCACCTACATCATCCAGTTTCTCCCACACGGCGACTGAATGGAGGAGCAGAACGGGGACCATTTCTGCCGACGTGTCCCACCTGGTACCAGGTGTCTTTTCCCCTGCTGGTATTTTTCCTGTTCCATCTGTCGACGGAGGTGAGAGGATCGAACCTCCCTCATTTCGACTGGCGGGAGGGTTTCTTCACACTCCGGTTGTCACGCAGTGAACAACTCCACCTGACTCTGTGCGCAAAGAGCCGTTCAGCGCGGGAAACTGTGCCACGTGTCGGTTTAGCAGGCAGCATTCGCGCCACCTGCACGTTCTTCTTGACAAGCCCAGATCTCGATCCAAAGGGGCATCCCGATCCAGCTGCACCCAGACGTCCGCACCCAGACGATACCACCGATGGGATCCCTGCCACGATTGCAGCGACTTCCATATCGTCTGAGAGTCCCGATCATAGAACGAGCAATCCGATGACCTGGAGCTGTCTCACCTTCACCTCCGAGGGGTTCTTCATTCCCGCCAAAAAACAAGGATGGTGCAAGCCACCTGAAGATTGGTGCTCCCGTTGTGCTGATGTCTGGAAGTTGTCCATTACATCTTCTTCTTCTTCTGCTTCTTCTTCCTCTTCTTCTTCCTCTTCTTCTTCTTCTTCTTCTTCTTCTTCTTCTGCTGCTGCTGCTGCTTTTGCTTTTGCTTCTTCTTCTTCTTCTTCTTCTTCTTCTTCTTCTGCTGCTGCTGCTGCTGCTGCTGCTGCTTTTGCTTCTTCTTCTTCTTCTTCTTCTTCTTCTTCAAGTACATCGCGTTCCAATCCCGATAATCGGATGTGGATAACCTCTGTTTCTATAAATAGATTGCGTCGTTTCGATGCAGACAATCAGTTGTGGATAAGATCTTCTTCTACAAATGTATTGCGTCGTTCCAATCCCAATACTGAATTGTGGATAAGATCTTCTACAAGGCGATTGGCTGTCAAAAATCCGGACAACCAGATTTCGATCCACATGGCAGTCAGGCTACACGGGTTCAATAGCGAGTTGCAGGAGGGAGTCTTCTGCTCCACACACCGAGGAGGAGGAGTCAGCGACTTCATCCTCCTTCCCCCCTCCGACTCTATCTCCAACTCTATCTCCGTTCCCATCTCCATCTCCAACTCCAACTCCATCTCCAACCCCATCTCCCTCTCCATGAACCCGGCTAGATCACGGTCGGATCGCCACACTGATATGAAAAAAAAGCTCGAACACGACGGTATTGGTGGGAGGAGGTGGAATAGGAAGTCTCAAGATTCAAGCAATAATAGAAAAGTCCTCTATACGAAGATGGATAACCCCCTCGATGCATCTGGGAGGTCGATCTGGGAAGGGAGGAAGAAAAAGGAGAACGCTGTGCGCCGCCCACTGGGTAAAAGAGTAGTAAGAGAAGGAAGAGGAGGAGGAGGAGAAAGAGGAGGAGGAGGAGGAAGAGGAGGAGGGGGAGAAAAAATAGGAGGAGGAGGAGGAAGAGGAGGAGGAGGAGGATATCATAGGCGTATGCAAGCTGTGGGTTCAGAACGGTCGAACAAGGAGAAGTGCGATGGCCGGTGCCAGGCAGCAGCGATAGTGCTATTGGTAGTACTGAACTCGCCGGGGATTATGTGCTTTGTGGGGTGTGTGTACGCATTTCGAGGGATCATTAGGAGCCTAGTAAATGGGATTGCAAGATTGTTGGGGTTGTTTATGCTTGGGAGACTGATCGGTAGGGGTTGGAATGAGATAGCGGGTCGATGCATGGGACAGCGAAGTCGTGCGGGAGCGGGAGAAGATGAGCTCGACCGAGAGGTTCAAGCAGGAGGAGGAGGAGGAGGAGGAGGAGGAGGAGGAGGAGGAGGTATGGTTGGTAATAGCAATCTGCAAGGGAATAACGTCGGGGAGATAGGCAGTGGTCGTCGGGACGCAAACGGCCACGTGGAGATGACGCAGCCATTGAGCACGAACGTGGTCGTGATCGTCTCGCCCAACGTGCAGGACTTGCCCTGGCTAGGGATCAAAGAGGATGAAACGCCGAGGAGAAGATGAGTCGCTATCACTCTCTGGAGCTCTCCGACTGACCCGCCATCTCTCCCAGCATAGAACGTTTCTCTGTCACGACCATGTTCCTCTCTGTGTGATATCAGATACTGTCTGCGTGCGTGCGTGCGTGTGTGTGTGTGTGTGTGTGTGTGTGTGTGTGTGTGTGTGTGTGTGTGTGTGTGTGGTCATGTTCGCTGTACACAACTGCACAACAAAAAAGCATGAGTGTGCCAGACTGTGTGGGTGGGTGGGTGTTTGAGGCTACACGTACGTGTGTGTTTGGGTGCATGTGTACGCGTGGGTGTGCAAGCCTGTGTGCGTGCGTGTGTGTCCGTCCGTGCGTGCGTGCGTGTGTGTGTGTGTGTGTGTGTGTGTGTGTGTGTGTGTGTGATATTCTCACTAAGACACGTAGACTTCCTCTTTGTATAAATTGTAGATTGATTTTTTTTCCTTTTTTGTTCTGTTCTTTTGCTTTGTATAGGCAGATTTATTGAAGTTTATTCTTATGTGTTAGGTCACCCACAGCTGTGTAGATTTACGATTTTTATCATTTTTATTAAATTAATTTACCCAGACTGAGTGTCGAGGGTCGTTAGAACGCCAAAAGTTGTTTGCCGTGCCGTGTGCAGACAGTGGCCCCGTCACAGTTCCTTTGCTGTGTCAATTTGAGTTGGGATAGCATTTTTATTATCAAGCTGTAAATTCAATATGCTTCTGATCACCGGTGATTTATGGAATGAACGTGTCTTTCTAAGATATGAAAATAATCTCTATATAATTCGACAGGCATGGCTCCTCAACGTATCTATACATTTAGGTGTATAGTATATGTATACTATCGCGTGGTCATGCTCCGTCAACACTGGCCCATGGATGGACTTGTTACATTCGAGCTCGCCAGCGTCGACATCCAATACATGTAACTCGCCTTACACAATGGTTTCGACGTATGCTCCGCTGGTCCGTGCACCATCCTCTTCCACCCTCTCCTCCCCTTTCCTCCCCTTCTCCTTCTCCCAT